GACGGCACGCCATTGGCCATACGAGAAAAGGTGGAGCGAGTAAAAGTCCGCTGCGGGGGAAACTTCGGGTTTACACAGGAAATGCTCGCAACGACGCTGGATGGGCACGACATTTTACTGGGACGTGATTGGCTGCGACGGTACAACCCACGAATCGACTGGACGACGGGGAGCTGCACAGTGCGAAGTAGCGGTAACTGGGTCGTCCTACCTCGCTGGCGGTCACCCGAATCTTCGACAGTCCAGGTCAACGCCATCGCGATGAAACGGGCTGTCGCTGCTGGAGCTGACGTGTACGCAGTGGATATCGCAGTGGTAGAAAAAGACGAGCAGCAGAACGATTTACAGAAACTGCTAGCAGCCGTACCGACCGAATTACAAGCACTACTGAAACGGTTCCCGGGGATATTTCCGGATGATTTACCACAGGGACTGCCACCTCAGCGAGCGCACGACCATAGGATCGAGCTAGAACCAGGGGCACAGCCAACAGTACAGCGGCAATTTCGACTGACACAGCCCGAGCTCGACGAGTTAAGGAAGCAGTTAGATTACCTGTTAGAGAAGCAGTTTATTCGCCCAAGCTCGTCACCGTTCGCCGCACCCATACTGTTCACACCGAAAAAAGACGGAGGTTTTCGCATGTGCATCGACTACCGAGCGCTTAACCGAGTAACAGTCAAATCGCGATACCCCATCCTCCGCGCCGACGAACTCATTGACCAACTGCGAACGGCACGTGTCTTTTCGAAAATAGATTTACGGGGAGGTTACCATCAAATTCGGGTCGAACCATCGGACTGCGCAAAAACAGCATTTAGGACTAGGTACGGGTCATTCGAGTATACAGTAATGCCTTTCGGGTTAACGAACGCGCCTGCGACTTTTCAGATGACCATGAACGAGGCGTTTAGACCGCTTTTAGATAAATGCGTGATCGTTTACCTCGACGATATCCTCGTTTACAGTCGGGATAAGCAGCAACACTTAGCAGACCTCGAAGCAGTTTTTAAGGTTTTAGAGGAACATCGGCTGCTCACCAAAGGCTCCAAGTGCGAGTTCTTTAGGGATAGGCTAGAGTTTTTAGGTCACGTCATTTCCGAGGCTGGGGTTGAGATCGACCCAAAGAAGCTGGATACGGTAAAAGCGTGGCGCCCCCCGACAAACATCACGGAACTGCAGAGTTTTTTAGGGTTTGTTAATTATGTTCGACGGTTCGTGCCCGACATGGCACGTTTAACAGCCCCACTAACTGATTTACTGCGTAAGGGGGTCACTTTTACGTGGGGGGAGAAAGAGCATGCTGCCTTCTCTGCCCTAAAAAACGTCCTTTGTTCACCACCCGTTCTACGTATCGCTGATCCCCACCGCCCTTTCGAAGTGGTTACCGACGCAAGTGACATCGCCATCGGAGCTGTACTGTTACAGGACTTCGGCAACGGCCTCCAACCCATCGCCTACGAATCACGCAAACTACATCCGCCTGAGCGAAATTATCCGATACACGACCGCGAAATGCTCGCGATCGTGCATGCATTCAAAGTTTGGCGCTGCTACTTGACTGGCGCAGACGTGACAGTACGGACAGACCACCGATCTCTACAGTACCTCCGCGCACAGCCCCACCTCAACCCACGACAGATTCGATGGCTCGATTTCCTCGAGTCGAATTTTCACTATACGGTCACATACAAAAAAGGAGCATCGAATATCGCCGACGCACTGACCCGCCCCACTGCCCAGATCCACGCGATACTACTCGCCCAGACCAGCCCACTGCTTACCGGCCTATTTACCCACGGATATCAAACAGACTCGTTCTTTACAGGAGGCAACTCACAGCAATTCGCAGCGGCAAAAGGAGTCTATTACGTAAAAACTGGAACCGACCGCATCTGGGTACCGGGATACACGCTGCTGCGGGAACTACTGTTACAGGAAGCACACGATGGAGTTACCTCGGGACATTTCGGGGTAGAAAAAACACGGCAGCAGCTGCAGCGGTACTACTACTGGCCAGAAATGTTGACCGATGTGCAACGACACGTGGCATCGTGTCCCACTTGCCAGCTCATGAAGACAAGCAGGAAGCGACCAGCGGGGCAATTACAACCCATCCCGCCTCCAGAGCGTGCTTGGCAGCAGGTGACGATGGACTTCGTCACGGGGTTACCAGCTGGGGCGAGTGGGAATGACGGGATCCTGGTCGTCGTCGATCGACTAACGAAAATGGCTCATTTCGCAGCATGCAGGAAATCCATCACAGCCGAAGAAACCGCCCGACTATTCATCTCCACCGTCGTACGACTGCACGGGATACCCGCGTCAATCATCAGCGACAGGGACACGAAATTCACCAGCAACTTCTGGCGAAACCTGTGGCAACAGTTCGGCACACGCTTACAGTTCAGTTCATCCTATCACCCCGAAACCGACGGACAGACGGAACGGACAAATCAGACCATGGAGCAGCTGATTCGAGCCACGTGCGACGACCCGAATACGTGGGAACAGCAACTGCCACTCATTGAGTTCGCATACAATAACGCACCATCAGCCACGACGCAACAATCGCCGTTTTATCTAAATTACGGACAGGACCCAACAGTACCCATGACACCGAATCCCGACAACCCCGTCCCACGAGCACAACAGTTCGCCGAGATTCTGCAGGCAGCACGGACCAGGGCAGCAGAAGCAATAAAAAATCAAACATCATCGCTAAACGCAACGCCGATCGACATCGCAGACCCGTTACTTATCAGCCCGACGACCTCGTTTTACTCGACACTCAGAACCTTCGCCTGCCCATCACTCCAAAACTTCGCCCCCGATATTGTGGGCCATTTCGCATCAGCCACATGATCACACCCGTCACCGCCCACCTCCTCCTCCCCGCTGACTGGTACGTCAGCCCGTCATTCCACGTCAGCCTACTTCGCCCTTACATCCCATCCACGAGCCAATTGCCACGAACTCGCCCAGCCAGCATGACACGTCCCCCAACCGAACCACTCATCACCCCTGACAAAATCCTCAGCCACCGCGTCCGCGACCCTCGGGGAGCCCGAAGGATCGAGTTCCTAATTCGCTGGAAGGACCGAACGCCCACTGAAGACAACTGGGTCCCCCTGGATAAAATTGAGAACCACCCTGTCTTCACCGAGTATCTGCGAAGCCGAAATTTCCGCGATGTCCATGCGCTCTCGTAAGAAGGGGCCTCCTTGGGGAGGGGGGTAGTGTAAGGAAATTCCCTTTTCCTTACTTCGCGTCCCTGCCCAGCGCGTACGTCACTGTAGCACCTCAGTCAGCACCGTTACCACTCGCGACCATCGCATCATTCATCATCCCGCCTTTTTCGCACATCGCATCCCGACCTCACGGCTCGGCTGGTAACCCGCGCTCCGGGCCTACGCTTCGACATTTTCCCAACCTTAGTCTCAGGCTCGACGCGCGACAACCACAGTCCATTACCGTTACCACTATTGTTTCGCTATATAATCCTTCGCTCATGCCTTCGCTCATTGTACTTTTGCTTCGATAGTGCAATTCTCGTTCGTTCACTCAATTGCACACGTAACACCTGCGCTTGGAACAGCACCACTAGCTACTTCTGTATGTATTGGAGTATCTACGGATTCTAATGCCGTCGAAAGGCGAATCTTGCCTTACCGAGTTATACAATCTCCTTAGGCTGGGCGGCAGGAAAAGGTTGGCTGCCTGGGACCACTTTGGCTGGTTATGTTCGTGAGAGCCTTGCCGAGCCTTGGTTTGGGCGTCCTTGTTGCAGCAGAACAGATCACCAGGGACGTTCATCAGTTGGTTCGGTTTCAGTTTGGTCATCTGGTTCGGAGCCGCAAGACGACTCAAAATCCCGATGTTCCAAACCTGCCCATTTCCCCGAGCTACAAAACTATACAACCGTACCTGCTTAGACCTTCAACGCCCGAGTCGCCTTCCAAGACATTAGTTATGACTAGCAACTGATTTGAGCAGGCCATGATGTTTCCGCACAACAATCTTTAGGACCACCACCACAACTCGCTAACACTGTAGCCTGCGTACGTACGCGAGTTGCCAGTCGCACAGGCCGCCTGAGGTGCCTAACGCTGCCGAGTGTGGTGGTAAGTTTCCGTTGGCTGATCTCATGGCTCCTCAGGCCGGGTCGCGCGGCGTGTGTTGCTTTGCGGGAGGGCCAGACACGAGACGAATAACGAAAGATTCTGATGTGGATTAGACGATCAACGTCGTCGTGTTCGGACTGCATGCGGGTTTGCCGAGGGACCAAGGCCAGCAGCGTGGTTCACCACTCACTGGGGGATGAATCTGTCGTTTGGTTGTCATTCAACGCGACGCTGCGACTATGTTTCATTCTCAGAAGCCTCTGAGAATGAGAAGAAGCCTAGCGCGAATCCTCCATGGTCCATCACATTTGAGCTCGCCTGCTCCTGTGACGCCTTACTATTTTCAACCGCATAATCATCGCATCACTCGAGTTATTCACTACGACAGACCTCCGAGGTCGCCTCACTGGAACTGATAGTAGTGGTACTAGCTACACCATCATGGTGCGAACTCGGACCGTCGGATCGTCCACCAGCCTTCTCCCGCTAATCAACGCCGGCCACGTGTCTTCCATCTGGCACGACATCCTCCTCATTCCGCCTCCCGCTTCTCCCCCCAACGGCTCCTACTCCCCGCCGCGCCACCCCAGCGTTTCCCCCTTCAACACCTCCGCTTTCTCCTTCGTCTGCCGCTCCGCCAAATCCCCTTCCGTCGATTGCGGCGGGAGCCGAAAGCTTCGGCGCCGCGATGACCCTCTTTTCCTGTTGGAGAAGCGGATGGTCGTGATGGCCCTAGACGGCAGTCTTACCAAACTGCAGCCGTCGCCGTCCGAGTCGCCGGAAACTTCGTCGCCGTCGTCGGCGCTCCTACAAGCTTCGCCGTGGAATCTGGGTATCCTGCCGCAGACGTGCGTGCTCGCGTCGCGATGCATGTCGATGTTCTCCTGCTGCGATGCGAAAGGCGATTCTGGCGGTTCGGACGTCCGCCAGGGCGAGTCGCGGGATAATGAACTCACAGAGTCGCTCATAACGGCGTGCGGCAACGCGCCGCTGGAGGCGCTGGAGATCGGGTCGCAAGCGCACGATCCTGGCGACGTGTACGACGTTTTTCCGCTGCTGGCGATGCCCCTGCGACTGCGGGGATCTGGGCGAAACAGCATGCCGATTTCGTGGAGGATCGTAACCATCGCAGCGGACGACGAGCTGGTGACGAACGGGCAGCTGAAACATTCCATGCGCGATTTGTTGGATCGCGTTCGCGAGTGGGCGAAAAAGTCGGAGTCCTTTCGCGAAATAGCGGGACCAGGTACTATCATGCCGCCAATCTGGTTCCTTTCAACCATCCCCTCTCCAAGCTATCCTCTTTCACCCTTCTCCCTTCGCGTGCCAGTCCTGCTGCTCTCCTACTCCCCTAGTACCCTCCCCCGTCACTCACCTCCCTTGCCCGTTGAATATCTCCTCGCTCCTGCATTCCGCCCTTTGCTTCTCTTTCTCGCTCATAGATCCTTCCGTACTCTCCTTGCTCCATCCTTGCCATCCATAAATAAGTCTCGTTCCTATGTGCGATCTTGTCTACTTGATGATTGGAGAAGACACAAGAAGACGTGGGCGCAAAGTGAAAACCCTTGCAACAAGTACAAAATGTCAAACCCCTCCACCTTCCCTTCCCCCCTTCCCCTCCCCCTTCCCCTTCGCTCGCCTCGCATCGACTCTCCTTCCCCCTCCGCCTTCCCTCCCTTTCCCCCACCACTTTCTCCCCCACTCCGCTCTCTCCCCGTCTCCTCGCCCTCTCGCCTCTCTCCCTCGTCCCGCAGGTCGCTCCCCCAATCTCTTCTTTGACGCCTCCCCATCGGCCTCACCCGCAGAAGCAGCAAACAGAGAGGCGTGCAGAAGTCAATCCGGACTTCAGTACTCCACAACTCAGAGCGAGGAGAGAGGGGCGTGTGGCGGCGGAAGCGGAGGAGCATCGCTGAGAAGGATCTCAAGAATCAACGGTCGACATTCAAAGTCTGAACGCGAGAAGAGAGGAGTGGAGGAACCGGAGGAGAAATGGGGAAAGTCGGCAAGGGAAGCAGATGAAAGGGAGCAAGTGGAGAAAGCAGCAAGTCAAGCCCGGGAGGCAGAGGAAGGGGAGGAAGTAGCAGAGCAGAGGGAGCAAGTGCGGGAAGCGGTGCAAGCAGTGCTGCATGCACACAGCACGTGGCGAATCTTCTGCCCCACTCTGCACCGACCTGCTCTCAAGCGCCTGGAGAATCATCACCGTGGCCGCTCGCACCTGCCCGAAAAAGGCCATGGCAGCTCTCACCTGCCCGAGAACCACCATGGCGGCTCGCACCTGCTTGGGAACCAGCAGCAGCAGCTACAGCAGCAGGAGCGACAGAATAAGCTTGTGCGCAGCCCTGTATTGTCATGCCACTCTTCTTCCAGTGCTCTGCCGGCTCTCTCTTGGTCCTTCTCGTCCTCTCCTTCTTCTCCCTCTTCCTCTCCCTCGTCTTCTCCCTCACATTCGGCCTCGTATAAGGCAGCTTCGTTGCCGTCTAAGGCTGCATGCTCCAGCCGGGCGGCGTATCTAACCCGCCAAAGCAGATCTGATACGGACATCAGTGCCATGGGCGTGTGGAGGCTGATTGCTCCTCAAGAGAGCTATGGGCTTCCGGGGCTGGTCTCTGCTGGTAGGCTGAGAGGGAATGAAGAAGGAAGAGGAGGAGGAAAACGAGAAGAAGGGGGACAAGAAGAGGGAGGAGGCGGAGTGAAGGACGGTGTTGTAAGGAGAGAAGCAAGCAAGCACAGGCACAGGCATAGCCTCGACTTTACTTTGATGATTAAGACCAAAGACTGGCATCACAGCTCTGAGACTGCTGGTCGGCTTGCGGGGTCTGCTGCCAAGGTTGCAGCAGCAGCAGCAGCAGCGGCGGAACCTGTAAAGTCGCAAGTTACGGGGGTTGCGGCTACAGCTGCTGTTGTTGCTGCAAACAAGCATGCTGTGGCAGAATCTGTGGCAAGAAGTGTAGCACGGCCTTTTACACGCCCAGCTCATTCCCCTCTTCTCAGCCCCTCCCACTCTCCTTCTGGGTTGACTCTAAAGTTACACCTGCCTCCTCGATCCCCTCCTCTCACTCCCTCATCTCGATCCCCTCCTCTCACTCCCTCATCTCGATCCCCTCCTCTCACTCCCTCATCTCGATCCCCTCATCCCACTTTCTCAACTCAATCCCCTCCCTTCACTCCATCTCAATCCCCTCCCTTCACTCCATCTCAATCCCCTCCTCTCCCTCCCTCATCTCAATCCCCTCTCACTCCCTTGCCCCTATCCCCTCCTCTCACTCCTTCATCCCAATCCCCTCCTCTCACTCTCTCTCACTCCACCACCGGGCCTCCATCCCCCTCTACTCACCGTTCCAGCGTACAATCAGGTGGTAGTGCCTCCTCCACCGCTTCCTCTCCAACATTCAACCCCATTTTTGCTCGCCCCTCCACCTTCAAGTCAGCCAGCACCACCGCGGTTTCTCCAAGATTTGCCTCCCCGTGTGCGCGCCGGTCCATCTTGAAATCTGCCAGCACCACCGCAGCATGGCCAACACCCAGCAAGCGCGTGTCTTGGAACGTTGACCCAAACACCTCACCTGCCGCTGCCAGTCATACATCTGGGGGGACACCTACACTACCAAAAGGGGGCGGTTACGAGCCCATGGTGAGGCGGGCAGGGAGTGTTTTTGATAGGATCGCTGGTGAAGCTGCTGAGTCTAGTCAGGGAGCAACGGCCCCAGCAGATGCGGCTCCTGCTGCTGCTGCCCGTGCTGCAACGGCTGCTGGTGCTGCGATGACTGCTGCAGCATTATCATTGTCTTTCAGGCCTTCCAGGAATTCTCCTTCCCGGCTTCCTGTAAAGAGCGCGAGCTCCGACCAGATCCGCACCCGTGTTGAGACAGCTCAACTTTCGAGTGGGTCGGAAGCTTCTGGAAGGGGGGAACTGCAAGGGAGAAGAGGAGGGAGAAAGACACGTCCTCTATTTGTGGTGACGCCTAGGCGCAGCGTGCACAAGCGGACCTTCAGTGAGGGCGCATCGTTTGGATCACCTATTCTTTCCGCAACACCATCTGCATGATGTCATGGGCGGTCGCATGCTCGTCTTCTTTCTTTCTTCCATTCTTTTGTTATTTGTGAGTAATGTGTGAAAAGGACTGTATGTGAAAACAGTTAAAGGTGTTAACAGCGTTTTGGAGTCCTAGCGATTGGGTTGAGAGCTTAACTGCATAAGGTACATACGTTCTGAATCCTCCTAATTGTTGCCATGCCAACTGAACTGCGTCCTGTTAGCAGCAGGTAAAGTTGTGTGCGTAATGTTCTAGGAATCCTGGTGATGAGGGTTGTTGGGACCCAGGAGGGAGGGGTGGTTGAACATCAGTAGTGAAACTACTACCGTATGTGAACCCAGTACCGGTACTTATTCAACCACCACCGCCACCATGTGAAACCATTTTGTACGCGGCACAATAGTCAATAAAACATACCCCTCACGCACGTCCCCATCTTCTAAACGAATCAGGCTACTATTGAGCCTCCAGTGTGTGAGAGTATTCCCCACCACAGGCACCTGTAAAAACCCCACATCCCGGCCATTCACCTTTACATCTGCACCGTCCATCTTGTGCTCCTGCTTCTGCCAGTCCAGCATCTTGTACACCACGCCTATGCCCCGTGCAGCCCCCCGCACATCCACAGCCACACGCAGAGGAGCGCGGGCAGCCTGGGCCTTCCAGCACAGGATCTGCGGCACCAGCGGTCCACACGCCTCCTGCACCCATGTCGCATTCGCCTCCGCAATCCTCTTTACACTCGCCGCATCCCCTTTAGAAGCAGCCTCTCTAACAGCCGTGTACCCCTCGGGGAACTCTACTGCGCCCACGGCCGTGACGTTCCAGGTGTTGCCCAGCACACAGCGTGGGTGCGGGTCGGCCGCGCTCTGCAACGGCGGCAGCATGCAGGGCGCCGAGAGTGGCGGGCCGAGGGCCGAGAAGCCCAGGTCACCGAAGCACTTGCGGCACAGGGAGGTGGGCGGGCAGAGGAGCGCGGACTGGGTGGAGGGGGCCGCCTTGCCATCCACCCAGTCGAGGCGCAGGTGGTGGCGGGAGACAGCGAGGCCCTCACGGCGCAGGTAGTGCAGGGCGAGGGAGAAGATGCGGTGGGCCGCCAGGCTGCCTGCCATGCCGTGGCCGGCAGCCGAGGGATGCACGCGGTCCACAAACATGTGCGCCCACGTCAGGTTCTCCGCAGGCTCAGATGACGGCGGGGACAGCACGCGAGGCTTGGCGGCAGGCTCGGAAGAAGGTTCGTCCGAGGCGGGGCAGGTTGGGGACGCTGCGGTGGCAAGGAGGGGGAAGTAGGCTCGCCAGGGGCTGACAGCGGGGACGCTGTAGTAGGCTGAGAGGTGGTTGAGCAGCGCCTCGGCGGAGTGGTGGAAGGCGGAGAGCAGCGGGTGGTGTGGATGGAAGACCCCGAAGTTGAGGAAGAGCACCAGCGGGTGCGATGGCAGCCGTAGCACCTGACGCACCAGACCCTCCGCTGCTGCGTACTGTGTGCCCTCTGGTGGGGGGAAGGGAGAGGGGGACAGAGGGGAGATGGAGAAAAGAGATTAGTAGGAGTGTGGTGAATGCAAGGGGGTGAAAGAGTATGTTGAATGGTGGGAAGGAAGTAAACACAGAATACAAGAAAGCAACGTGAGGGTGAGGTAAGGAGGCAGCCAACTTGAAATAGGGCACTCAGGTGAAGACGTTTCACTCACCTGAGTGCCCCTCACTATTGTATGCATCACCGACCTTTTCTTGAAGGAATGGAATGGCATGGAAGGAAAGTGTGCGGGGGGTGTATAGAGCGCCACCCAGCCCATGCAGTTTGCTCCACAAAAATCATGCCAACCATGCCATCCCACCATGCCATCCCACCATGCCATCCCACCATGCCATCCCACCATGCCATCCCACCATGCCATCCGACCATGCCACCCCACCATGCCATCCCACCATGCCATCCCACCATGCCACCCCACCATGCCATCCCACCATGCCATCCCACCATGCCATCCCACCATGCCATCCCACCATGCCATCCCACCATGCCATCCCACCATGCCACCCCACCATGCCATCCCACCATGCCATCCCACCATGCCATCCCACCATGCCACCCCACCATGCCATCCCACCATGCCATCCCACCATGCTATCCCACCATGCCATTCCACCATGCCATTCCACCCAGGGCTCTCGGTATCAGGGTAAACATCCTGAAACTCAGGTACATTCCGTATGTTTTGTCGGTGAACCCTGATTCATCTGGATTGGTCTAGAAATCATCCGGACCATTTCCGGATGATGTGGCCGAGCATTCTGGAACTTCAGTATTGTTTCGAAAGCAATCCTGAGAATTTAGCTCGGTACTAGTTAAGACATGATGCAAGTGTTAGGTCTGTTAGTCCTTGCCCAACCAACTTGGACGTTTCAGAGCCTCTTGTGCCTACGGTGATGAACTGCAGTTGTGCATTTTCGGATTTTGGAGAAAACACACGGACGCGGAAGGGAAACGTTCGAGGGAACGCAGATTATTCAGGGTCTTTTCTCAGATTATTCAGGGTCTTTTCTCAGATTATTCAGGGTCTTTTCTCAGATTATTCAGGGTCTTTTCTCAGATTATTCAGGGTCTTTTCTCAGATTATTCAGGGTCTTTTCTCAGATTATTCAGGGTCTTTTCTCAGATTATTCAGGGTCTTTTCTCAGATTATTCAGGGTCTTTTCTCAGATTATTCAGGGTCTTTTCTCAGATTATTCAGGGTCTTTTCTCAGATTATTCAGGGTCTTTTCTCAGGACAATCCCGAGCCTTCCGTGCCTTCAAAAACGAGAGTGCTGCCCTGATTCCGCCTCAACATCCCACCACGGTGCCTTCCGCCGCGGCATTTGCCCCGCCATTCAGCCTACCTGGGGGCGGGGTCATGCCGGGCTGCAGCACGGACCAGTCATTGGCGGCGCACTCCAGCAGCACTATGTCCGCCTCCCCCGCTGCGCGCCGCTGCTCGTCCCCGTCCGCCCACAGCGCCCCCACCAGCTCCCCCGTGCAGAAGTGCAGCACGAATGACCCCGCCCCGGGCAGGAAGGCCCGGATGAGACGGTGCGGAGGGGTTGAGGGCGGTGTCGGGAACACCTGTGAAAGATGGGGAGAGATGGGATGGGACCAGTTCAGGCACTGACGAATGAAGAAACGAGAGCAAGGTCAAACAAAGAGGTCTGGTTCGGGCACCGACAAACCGGATTGGATCGTCAAGGGCCAAACCAGGCATCGCATTTTGCTGATGCTTGCCTTGTGGGCAGTGGATCCTTTTCATCTCGTTTGTAACCATGCAAGGCAACCCTTGATGGCTCACTGGTGAACTCATACCATTTCATTGTACCCCGACAGTGCTGGGCAACAAGACATCAACAAACAAAAACTACTTTTACAAAACATATCTTCCTAATCAACAGCATGAAAGGGTTTGGCTAGTTCTTCAGGAGAGGCTCCTTTAGTTAAACCCTTTTTTTTATATTCAGCATGCCAACACAGTGTAAGAGTATAGATTGCCTGCTAGGTTGAAGCATAAAAGTGTAGATTTGTGTGTTGGGTTGGCAATTGAACCCAAATGTGATCCGAGACCCCTAACACAGCGATTGGACCTTACGGGTGACAAGCTCAACCAAACGACTTGTGGTCAAAGCAGCCCCTTGTTTTCTAGAGTTCAGCTTCTTTTCACCATGCATGCGCTCGTGCTTTCTTGCGCTGCTAGAAACCTCTCATCTCTGTCACCCTCCAGTTTCGATTCCTCCTCGCTCAGCACAATCGTCTTCCTCTCTCCTAGAACCCTCTCCTCACATACTCCAGACTCTCCCCTACCCTCCCCCATCCCCCTCCTCTTTCGCCCATCCCACAACAACCACGCACCTGCTGCAGCCAGTCCACAAGCGCACCTGCTGCAGCCAGTCCACAAGCGCCTGGCCATATGTTCCCGTGCCGTGCATAACGCCGCCTCGCAGGTGGCCCGCGGCCCTCCTCCTCTTGCCCATCCCACAACCACACACGCACCTGCTGCAGCCAATCAACGAGCGCCTGGCCATACGTGCCGGTGCCGTGCATGACGCCGCCCAGCAGGTGGCCCGCGGCGGAGATGGAGCCGCCCACCGCCACCACCGTGAGCGCCCGCCCCGCCAGCAGCTTCGCCAGCAGCACCAGGAAGCGGTGCAGCGGCGGGTCAAACGCGAAGCTCCTCTGCACCACGTCCACGCCGTAGCTGGGGGAGAGAAGGGGGGCCGGGGTGGTGGGGGCAACAGTGGCGCGGTGGGGACACAGGTGAGTGTCCTGCCCGCCAGCAGCTTCGCCAGCAGCACCAGGAAGCAGTGCGCTCCTCTTCTGCACCACTTCCACGCCACAGCTGGCAGCAGGGAAGAAGGGGGGTTGGGGTGGGGGCGACAGTGGGGAGGCGGGGATGGGGAGGAGGGGAAGATAGGCCGTGGTCAGCCTCCCTGCCACCACCACCACGAAGCCGTGTAGCGGCGGGCGGGTCGACGACGCGGGGATGGCGGGGGGAGGGGGGAGACGACGGGGGGGACGTGGGGAGGGGTCGGAGGTGGGGGCCTAGGTGAGCGCCTCCCTGGCAGCGGCAGCAGCAGAAAGTGATGCAGCGGGAGGGAGGCCCGAGGGTTTGGTTTACTGCACTCTGCTGCACCACGTCCACGCCGTAGCTGGTGGCAGGGGGTGGGTGGGGGCGACGGCGGGGAGGTGGGGAGGGGGAGGAGAGGAGGGTGACAAACTATGACGTAAGCAGCCGCCCTGGCAGCAGCAGCAGAAAGCGATGCAGTGGGAGGATTCTCAGGCGCCTCAAGAATCGTTTTTGACGAAATGCGGGGTGCAAGGCCGAGCAGCAGAGGGGCACAGCGGAACCAAATGGTAAAGGGTTGGAGGCGCTGGTGGGGGAGGAATCGAAGGGAAAAGAGAGCGGTGCGGTGCTGCACTCCTGCCCGTCGCTCCTCTGACTTTCCAACATCGCCGTCGTTCCATGCTTGCACTCTTTCCTGCGTCCACCCCCTCGCCTTACCTTGTTCTGCCATCCCATCCCTTCTCTCCCCCACTCGCCACTCTCACCGCCGCTCTCACCGCTCCGCTCACCGCTGCTCTCACCGCTGCTCTCACCGCTGCTCTCACCGCTCCCTGCTCGCTGCTCACCGCTGCTCGATGTCCCACATGGCCTGCTGCAGTCGCCGCCCCACCTCCAGGCACTCCGCCGCCATCGTCGCTCCCGCCGCAGCCGTCCCCACGCCCCACCCGCCCTTCGATCCGCCCTCTGCGGGACCCCGCATCCTTCCGCTGCTCCCCCATCCGCGCACGTCCCTTCCAATTCCCCATCCTTGGAACAGCAGTGGCGGGGCTCTGAGTACCGGGGAGATTAGCAGCACAGCAATCAGCGCAATCTGCGGCCGCAAAATCCGGAGAGAATTCATCGCAAAAAAGGGGGATTGCGCTGTCGACACGGGTTCATGTCGTCAGCGACTTGGTCGGGGTGAACACATTCGCTAGTAGCTGCTCACGTATGGATAGTTTCGGCCACGGGCGAAAGTTGCTGCTGGTGTATCGTCTGGAAAGGTTGATTGTGATCGCACAGTGCTTGTGTGAGTGGTTGGTTTTCTTCTGTTCTTACGATCCATTCTCGATAAGGGGAAAGCGGGAGCACAGCATGGTAAGTTTTAAAGTTCAATATTCTTAGAGAATACCAAAATGAGTATATATCTTACAGATGCGCGATCGATATTAAAGATGCAGACATGACCGCTTTGATCGTAACTATTGTTAGTTTACATAGAAGCTAAGCTATTTTTCGAAATGTTAGAAAGAATAGCGTAGAGGACAAGGCCGAAACTCTAGTCTAGAGTTTAGCACGTGGACAAAAGGCATAATAATCCATAGCCCCCCCTTTTTGTGTGCCAGATTGATGAAGCCTAATAACATGTAGTGGGTACCAAGCGTAACGCCTGTGGGCATTCCGCTGCAGAATGTTTCAAGAGCAACACCCTCGTTTGGACCTAAAGGTTAGGGCGTGTGTCTTTTGGAGTGTATTCTAAAGTTCATGTTTTTTTTGCGACTTTATGCATTTTGCTACGATCAGAAGTAGATTGAACTCAGGATCACCTCGGGAAGGTGTCAGAATCTAGCAGCAGGAATAAGTGCATTGAACAGATATGTGGGTGTCAGAACATTATAGCTTATACTTTTGAGTAGGCCGTAGTGGGGTAACCCATATGGGGTACAACCCAATTAGGGTTAGTACTTGTACCCAACTCTTTCATACTGCATTCATTCTCGTTCTAGTTTTCTCATGGTATAGAGCAGGTTCCCTCATGGGAACTGTTCCTAGGGCCCACCAATTCGATTTTTTTTTTTCATGCCCGGAGCGCGCTCAGTTCCTGCCCGAGTCGCGCTCCCCTCTCTCGACCCTCTCGCGCCGCCTTAGCGGCCCCGTCGCGTCGCGCTAGAGGCCCCGTCGCGTCGCCCTCGTGGCCCCATCCCGTTGCGCCGCCCTAGCGGCTGCGTCCCGCCGCCCTAGCGGCCCCGATCCGCCGCCCTAGCGGCCGCGTCGCCTATTCCTGCGGCCCCGGCGCCGCCCTTCCCGGCCCCGATCTGCCGCCCTAGCGACCCCATCGCCTACCCCGCGGCCCCGGCGCTGCCCTTCCCGGGCCCCGACGACGCCCTTCCCGGCCCAGCCCTGCCTCTGCTGGCCCCGTCGCCTAGCCCTGCGGCCCCGGCGCCGCCCTTCCCGGCCCCGACGCCGCCCTTCCCGGCCCGGATCCGCCGCTCTGCGGCCCCGTCGCCTACCCCGCGGCCCCGGCGCCGCCTTTTCTCGGCCTCGACGCCCCCTTCCCGACCCGGCCCAGCCTGTGCTGGCCCCGTCGCCTACCTTGCGGCCCCGGCGCCGCCATTTCCCGGCCCCGACGCCGCCCTTCCCGACCCGGCCCCGCCTCTGCTGGCCCCGTCGCCTACCTCTGCGGCCCCGACGCCGCCCTTCTCGGCCTCGGCACTGCCCTTCCCGGCCCCGGCTCAGCCTCTACTGGCCCTATCGCCCGCCCTTCCCGGCCCCGGCCCCGCCTTCACGCGGACCCGCTGAGCTAGTGCCGAGCCGCCAGCGCCACCCGAGCCGCCCGAGCCGCCGCGCCACCTGATCCGCCCGAGCCGCCGTACCGCCGAGCCGCCCGAGCCGCCGAGTCGCCGGGCCGCAGTTGCCGCCGAGCCGCCCGAGCCGCCGAGCTGCAGTTCCTGCCGAGCCGTCGAGCCGCCCGAGCCGCCATGTCCGGTAAGAGCAGCGCCTCTGTCACTGCACTGCCCTTACCCCACTGTTCGCGCTACTAGTCTACTGCTGTCATGGCTACCCCTAGTGTCCTCGCTTTTGACGCTGAGGGTCGAGCCATTGACTTTGACGTGTGGGTAGATGACCTACAGCTTTTCCTACAGTGCGATAGGGCAGACGGTCTCTCCCTCTTTGACCTCACCTCTGGTGCCTCTCCTGCCCCTGCTGCTGATGCTGACGCCACTGTTCGCTCACAGTGGGCCACACGCGATGCTGCTGCACGTCTTGCTGTGCGTCGCCACCTGCCTACCTCAGAGCGTGCGCACTTTAGCCAGTACAAGAGTGCTCAGACCCTGTACGACGCTGTAGTTGCACGCTACTCTTCCCCTGCCACTGCTGCACTGAGCCGCCTCATGCTACCATACCTCTTCCTTGACCTTGCTGCCTTTCCCACAGTCGCTGACCTCATTACGCACCTCCGCACTAGTGACACTCGCTACCGCGCTGCGCTTCCTGCTGAGTTTTGCGACAAGAACCCCCCCCCCCCCATGTACATCACTCTCTACTACATCGTCACCCGCCTCCCTGACTCCCTTCGCGTAGTCAGGGACCACTTCCTCTAAGTTTGCCCCACCACTCTCACCGTTGACCTCCTCGAGAAGGCCCTCCTAGCAGCGGAGAAGAGCATGGTCGCTGTAGGAGCCTCTCGTGGTGACCCTCGCACCCCCATCTTTGAGGGGTGTTCCCCCTCCCCCCTTTCGCCCTCTGTTGCCTCTGCTGCTGCGGCCGACCTCGTTGGGCTTGAGTCGGTCGGTGCGGCGTCTACCCCTAGCAAGAGACGCCGCACTGGCAAGGGCAAGGGGGGCAGGGGCGCTGGAGGAGCTAGCGGGGGCGGTGGAGGCGGCGGTGGAGGCGGCGGAGGGAGTGGGGGTGGCGGTGGGGGTGGTGGCGGGGGTGGAGGTGTCGGTGGCGGCAATGGAGGCGGAGGCGGCGGCGGTGGCGGTGGGAACGGAGGTGGCGGAAGTGGCGGCGGTGGAGGAGGCGGTGGCGGAGGAGGTGGAGCTGGTCGAGGTGGCGCTGTGCAGAGGGTTGGCTCCGGTGGTGGTCAGCGCCAGCAGCAGCAGCAGTAGCAGCGCACTCGTGACATCCCCCCCCCTCAGCAGCTCCGTGAGTGGTACGCTGCACGCCAGCGGGGTGGGGGTACTGGTCCGTGCACCTACGTCCTACGCACCGGCGACCGCGCGGGTGAGCAGTGTGGGGGTGCGCACTCCACCCAGCGCTGCTTTGGCCGCCTGACGGACGCTTGGCGTCACCAGTTCTCGGAGGCCACGGAGATCCCCCGCTGAGGTGAGCTGTCTAGGGCGGGAGTAGCTATCTTTGACCTTGACTTAGATGCTATTCTTGCTGCCATGTATGCTGTCACTATTAGTGATGAGGGTGACTGTTACCGGTGTTTCCCGCCCGACCCGGGCATTGAGACTGCTGCTCTAGGTACTGGTGAGGCTGCTGCTCTAGGTGCTAGCAAGGCTGTTGCTCTAGGTGCTAGTGCGTCTGCTTCCTCAGGTGCTGGTGAGTCCGCGCTCTCAGGTACCGAGTCGGCTTCGGCCTCCCTCACCTTCACCCTTGACTCTGGGGCTTCTCGCTCCTTCTTTCGAGACCGCACCACACTCACGCCGCTTAGTCGGCCAGTTGCAGTCTCTCTGGCAGACCCCTCTGAGGGTCCTGTCCTTGCTCACTTCTCCACTGTCCTCCCGTGTCCGGTGGCTCCCTCTGGCACCCTGTCTGGTCTTTACCTCCCCTCGTTCTCTACGAACTTGGTGAGTGGTGCTGACCTACAGGATGGGGGAGTTTACCAGTTCACTCCTGCGCGCCAGCGGGTGACCCACTGCACGGACGCTCGGACGGGCCGACACTTGGCCACGTTTACTCGTCGGCCGGGGTCGAGCCTGAAAACACTGACCACTGCGTCTCCTCCTGTCCCTGCGTCTGGTCAGGTAGCTGCGTCGGGTCAGGTGTTTGCTGCAGCGTCCAGGTCTCATCCTGAGTCTGCCCCATGCTCGTGTCGCCTCCTGTCTCACGAGACTCTCCTCTGGCACCACCGCCTTGGTCACCCCTCCTTGCTTCGTCTCCGAGGCATGGCCTCCCGTGTCCTTGTCTCTGGTCTTCCCCGGTCCCTCCCTCCCCTTCCTCCGGGGCCTGGCCCTACCTGCGTCCCCTGTGTCGAGGGACGGCAGCGGGCTGCCCCTCACTCCTCCCAGTTTCCTCTGGCAGAGGCCCCACTGCAGACGCTTCACATCGACGTGTGGGGCCCCGCCCGCGTCCGTGGACTGGGTCACGAGCGCTACTTCGTGCTGGTGGTTAACGACTACTCGCGTTACACCACAGTCTTCCCCTTGCGCAGCAAGGGTGATGTCACTGAGGTGTTGATCGACTGGATCCGCGCAACTCATCTGCAGCTCAGGCAGAGCTTCGGCTCGGACTTTCCTGTTCTGCGTCTGCACTCTGACAGAGGCGGAGAGTTCTCCTCTGGCCTTCTGTAAGCCTACTGTCGTGCAGGAGGCATCCGCAAGACCTTCACGCTTCCGGCCTCTCCACAGCAAAATGGGATTGCTGAGCGCCGCATTGGCATGGTCATGGACGTCGCCCGTACGTCCATGATGCATGCGGCTGCCCCCAATTTTCTGTGGCCATTTGCGGTTCGCTACGCGGCGCATCAGATCAACCTTCACCCCATGGTCTCCATGCCGGAGACCTCCTCAGCCTTGCTGTGGACGGGGAACTTTGGCGATGCGTCTGCGTTCCGTGTCTTGGGATCTCGGGCGTTTGTCCACAACTTGTCTGCGGACAAGCTGTCCCCTCGTGCTGCTCCTTGCGTCTTCCTTGGCTTCCCCCCTGACGCGCCAGGGTGGCAGTTCTACCACCCCACCTCTCGCCGTGTTCTGTCCTCCCAGGACGTCACGTTTGACGAGTCGGTCCCCTACTACCGCTCTTCTCCTACCGCACTCCGTCCCTCCCCCCGCCGCCGCTCTTCCTCATACCAGGTCCCCCCCCCAGTAGACCCCCTCCC